AATGAATCATAACATATTTTTCTCATACATTATCAATAAAACAATATTGTAATAAACAATATTTACTTATTGAACTCTAACAATATTTACTTCAGTAGTGTTTAAATAGTATCTATAGCAAATTGTATACCGGCTGGGGTTACAAGTACAGGTAAAGCGAAATACCATTGCCCGTAAAAATATGTACCTACTAGCTACTCTCGCGCGGTTTCAACCGCTGCTCGGCTCCATTTAATCGTAGCGTGATGTTCTATAGCCCTCAAGAACATTGTAGCTATCTATCAGTGAAACATTTTGGCAATCCGACCAGCGGTTCCAAAGATTACCCCCTACATACAAACTTATAAACTTACAAATATACAAATTTTACCTCTTTATAATATTAAGTATCTTAGATACAGTCTTGCTATTGCTGTCTACGAAAGAGAGAGAGAGAGAGAGAGAGAGAGAGAGAGAGAGAGAACAAAAAGTATCGCTAAAACTTTTGGACTTATTTTTTTCCGTGAGTAGAAGGAACGGGTTGGTTTTAAGTCAGTAAGAGTCTGCTCACTTAGGGCGGGAGAAGCCATTGGATGATTTTTTCCTCAAAACACAAAAGGTATATAACTAATACGAATGTGATTATTTTCATTACTGACTTCTTGATTTTAATTGCTGTAACCCTGAAATTAGGTATTAATGAGGTACCTATGCTAACCTATGTACATTTTCCCCTTTATTTCGGTCGGCGTAATTCTTAATTGTAGCGTAATTTTAAATAACTAGGTAGCTAAATAATTAATATTTTAATTTGTATTGTCTAGTTAGTATTTGATAAAAAAATAATGATCAAATTTCAAACAATTTAATTGACGCAATCTTCAAGAAGCTTTAAGTGCGAAATAAGGATGAAATTTTTTGTATATCTAAAAAACGAAACCCAGGTAGAAGTAAATTATTATCAAATTCTTAATAACTTTCAGCTTGGCTTTATTTGTACAATTTGTTTTACTGGGTATGATTTTATACAGTCATTGAATATTTATAATCATAATTTTCAACACATTTTTATTAACATTTCGTTTGGTAGGTACTTATAACTGCAATAAATTCTGCCTGCTCTGAAAACTGGCGTGAAATGTGTACATAAATCACCGGTAAAACGGTGTCTCTTTACAATTCCTATCTTAGGGCATAAGATAGCAATACTAAGACCTAGATAATTGTTTAATACAACAATGTAACGTACTTCTTGTCAACATCAGCTGGCTTGTTACTCAATATGGGCGTACTGATTATGTAATCATTAAGCCTGTACTCGTAGGTTCTATTCTAGTATGTGTGTAGTTTATTTTCTGAAAAGTAGGACAATACATATAGTTTTGATTCCGTAACAACGAAAGCAGAGTTTGGGACTTTACACCTTTTCTCAAGGTATGAAAACTCAATTTTCAATCGCGATTACTAATACGTAAGTGATCACGAAATTTTGGGTCTCGGAGAACCGGGAATAATAATTAGAAATTATAAGTCCAGGTTTCCTCGCGACGTTTTCCTTCAACGTTTGTCAGTGGTGTCTAAATAGTCATAGAAAGTTCATATAACTCGTAAAAAGTCACATAGATACTTGCCAGGCTTCGACCCACACCCTCATGCATGAGAAGCAGTTGCCTTAACCTTCTGGCCACTAAGATATACATACACACACATAAGAAGCACAAATGGAAATAATTCCGTGCAGAAAAGACTAGAAAAACCGTAACAAAAAAAAAAACCTGACAACCGTTTTATAATTCGATCCATAATTAATTGCTCCTTTGATATTCACAAGAATGTGTTTACGATCTCCTCTCTACAAATAGAACATGATTGATACTACCTAATAGGTATTTAAGTTGGTATGTAATACCTATTTTAAAAGACAAAGTCATTTATTTACAAAATAAACTAATCCAATAAAATGTATCCGTGTTACTAGTACCTTGTGAAGCCAGTTTTGAGTTGCGTAATGTTTTATACTTTGCCCATGTTTGTTCTGATACGTATTAAACTAATGCGGATGTGTCAGTTATACAGGACTGATAGATTAACTTTTTTTTGAATGTGTAAAAATGATCCAGTGTTTTCTCCCTCGGTGCGGCGAGAGAGTGTTAGACTGTTGCTGACAACAAAACAATCTCGTTCGTTTTCCTGTTTTGAGCTGTGCTACAATGCATCATTGCGCTTAGTCTTACAACCCGTCTACGGCTAGCTAAGCCCTCTTCTCACCTTCTCCGTGTGAGAAGATGTCTTTACTTAAACGGAGAAAGGTGAATTGGCAATTTTTAATTTATATTTCGAAATTATACGGTCGGCTGGGGGTTGCAGGGTTACCGCTATGAGGCACTGTCGTCTCGGCCTCGGCCTAGAGAAGGAGAAGGAACGTGGGGTTTTAGTCAGTTAGAGTCTGACACTCTTGGTCGAGAGAAGTCATTTGATGATTTTAATCTCCCAATAAAAGGATTCCTTATATTCTGTAGGCCTACCATGAAGTGTTCCATGAAAGAGGGATGGAGCTATAAGAGGTGTATGCTAGGTAGGCCCTCTGTTTTCTTTACCGTATGTCAGTCGTGTCTAAAAAATGTTAGAAAGCTCGGAAAAAGTTATGCAAAACGTAAGGGAAACGGGCATCCTAACCGCAAACCACGAATGCCGACCAGGAAATAACATTAACAGTTTGATAATATTCACTTATATCCTATTCAAACAGATTCTAAATTTTCTTGTTTTTTTTTTGGACTCAACGACGCCCGTCTACTCTTGAATTGTCTTTTTCGTATCGTTTGTTAAGTATTTTATTGTATTAGCCGTCACTGAATCATTCGTTTTACATATGTACATATGTATGTTGTTCGTAGTTGTTCACATACCTCCGTGTAAATAAATACTATCTCAGTCAACTTATATGCTCTCGACGTTTCTCCATTATCAGTAGGGAATGACGGCGAAGGGTGCATCCACGTTATCTTATTGCAAGACTGACGTCACTTATAAACATGAATATATTTATTCAAGTAAACACAGTTTGATGATAAAATTCAAGGAATTGTGTGGTTACTGTCTGCTCATTTTCCTGTTGATTGATTACTTCCGATGTTTTAACAATTAAGGTAAATGTTTCATGTAAAAAAATTAGAAATATCACACAATTTACGATACCTACTTAGTTCTCGTAGTTAAACTTAATTAACGATGTCAGGTTAGCCATGATGTAGTTAAAAAATGAAAGAGCAAAGCTAAGAAGGAAAAAAGTAGACAGCGGGTGCCATACCTAAATCCAAACTACCTACATTAAAATACCTAGACCTAAAAATATCTTGACCTAGGACCTTCTAAAAGAATAACAATACAATACACTTAGCCGACGAGCGCTGACCTTTATCAATAATTAACAATAAAATAAATTCAATACTTAATATAACAAAAAATGCCGTTAATAGCCAAATGCTCTTAAATCTACTGATATTATGATTTTTTAAAGCGTTTATTATTCGTATAAAGATAAAAATAATTGTTCTCTAATAACAATAGCTATCAAATGATTGTTTAAATCACTGACTACTAACGTAGTCTACTAACGTAGTATTAAGCTGGGGTTGCGGGGTAAGCGCAATGAGGCACCGCGACCTCGGACCAGAGCAGGAGAAGGAACAGGGGGTTTTTAGTCAGTAAGAGTCTGACACTCCCTCCCGAAAAGGTCTAAGTAAACCTAACATTTAATGATACTTTTTTTATGTAATTGGTCGGCAAACGAGCAGACGGATTACCTGATGGTAAGCAATCACCAACCATGGGCGGCACGTCCATTGTTGGTGATGAGCGACCTTTTAGGGATTAGGGATTTGGAGATTTAGGGATTGAGGAGGGATTGGGGGCTGGGAAGGATTGGGCCTCCGGTAACCTCACTCACGCGGCGAAACACAACGCTGTGGTTGTTTCACGCCGGTCTTCTGTGAGGCCGTGGTATCACTCCGGTCGAGCCGACCCATTCGTGCCGAAGCATGGCTCTCCCACACTTACTACACTACTTTTGGAATTGCAATAAAATATCAATAAAACTGTTAAGATATTCAAAAATTTAAAATTGGCCAAACATTGTCAATGGGGTGCCTAATAGAAACAAAAAGCACTTGTGGAGTTCGGTCTTAAGCGTTTTTTTTTTGAGAACTCGTTCTTTCAGTCATCGGTATACATATAGTGTAGGTACAACTAACAATCGACTTCATAGTTGCACTTTAATGCGGAAGAATTAATGTTAGATAGATGCATGCAGAAATAACCAATTAGTTGATTGATCATCAATTGCATTGATGGGCGCTTCTTAATTGAAACAACGAAGCAAGGACACGATGACTCGCATAGATACATACGCTTAATACGACAGAGAACAATACATTTACTACTGATAATGACCACTAAAGAGGTTTATTTATAGGAATTTATGTATATCCTCCTCTTTTTTAAAACGTAAAATCGACCAGCGACTCTTCCCTCAAGGTGTGGGGCAAGAGTAAAATTACACTCTTATTAATTAATTAAAATCCGATCCGTTCCTTCTCCTCCTATATATAAGTCCTATGTTGCCATATTTGCGGTCGGTAATAAAGAGGTTTTTCAAAATTCCAAAAGTTTTCGAACAATATAGACGTAGATTGGACTTTTCTAAAATATCAAATAATATACTATACCTACATAAATTACGCAAAATCTTTAGCAGGCATGGAGCACGCACGCACGCACGCATGGGTATAAAATAAAGTTGTTGATTGTATAAGAAGTAACAATAGTTAGTTACTAACTAACTTCTACCTATAAAACGAATGATTACAGCATTGTTATGATAGTAATGAATGAATGATAATGAATAAAATTTTATTAAAACTTCAAGATGTCAAGATGAAGAAAATTTCAATTTTCTACGGCATAAATGTATTCGAGAATTGGTTAATCGCAAATCTAATATAATCTTATGTCTTTTTCAGTCACACGCGTCACCTAGCGCTGAGCGTAGGGAGCACCTGTACAAGATCCTGGTGATTGGAGAGTTGGGTACAGGGAAGACGTCCATCATCAAACGATATGTGCACCAGTTCTTCAGCCAACACTACAGAGCCACCATCGGTGTGGACTTCGCACTTAAAGTCCTCAATTGGGATGCTAACACCATCATCCGTTTGCAACTATGGGATATTGCAGGTGAGGATTTTGAATATTGTTACTTAAATTGTTTCTCATTTTGCCGCTTTTTGTTATTTATTTTGTGTTTTATATTTAGGAGCATAGAATTGAAGATAGAACGTATATTTTTTTCTGTACAATTTACTTGTATTAACCTTATCGAAATGTTGAAGGAAAAATACGGGTAACTGGATTGTTGGATTTGAATTTTGAGAGTCAGTACATACGCATTGTTAGATAGAAGACACATGTTACCAAGTCTTCCTTCACAAGAAACTTTATATAACTGACTACTTAGTCTTAATAAAAAATACATTAGCTCAAAATACCCTTCGTCTATCGTGTCTATTAGCGGCCCATTCTTCAATAATAGGCTGGGACTGTGCCCTTCTCATTTAGTAGCTTCCTCTTATTATCTGATAGACCTTGGTCAGACTCAATTGAGAATTCTAAAGAGTTTGATAGTACCTACTATATTTAGCTGCATCAGCTAGAAAAACATTTTAATGTTCGCAATTTGGTAAGATTCTAATGCACTTAAAAATTTTCCTTCTCTTCCAATGATAAACAAAGATAAAAACGGAACAACAACGAATCAAAACTTTTTGGCCTCTTCCTTTTACGCACAGATATAAGTAAAGAATTTACACTATCAAAAACATGAATTGTTTTGATAAGGACTATCTCAAACATTATTTTTATCAAATATATTTTGTTATGAGTACGTTAAGATATTATATCATCGTATAACAGCTTGTTCTAGTTGATATCAATCAGTCTATAGTTAAGGAAAACTTTAACTAGTAATTGGAGAAAGTAATTGTAAGTTTACACGTATTGTAGAATTTTCCAGAATTTTATGCTCGCTTTGGTATTAGAACTTCGTTATTATTTTTCATATTAGATATAACATAGGATTTAAAAAGGTACCATTTTAAAGTCTAAAGATAGTTACTGAACGCATCATGTAAATAGTTTTTTTTTGGAATACGTTGCAAAGCCCAGCATTTCCTCTTTTCATAAGTTTGGCATCAGGAAATTTCTAGCAAACGATGGTTGAATTCTGCCAAGCATCCAGATTATAGAAAATCCGCTCTTGTAAGTTCCTATTTGTGATCATTTTTTTCAATCTTCTTATGACAAAATATATAGATTCCGATATAAAGTAATTAATCCTCAATTAACTTGAGGTCATCATCATCTTCATCAGCCTATAAGTGCCCACTGCTGAGCAAAGGCCTCTTCTCACATGGAGAAGGTTTGAGCATTAATCACCACGCTTGCTCAATGCGGGTTGGCGATTTCAAACTTATAATTAGAGTACTAAACTTGAGGTCACCAACCGGATTCTCCAAAAGTTGCTCGAGACAAAAATAAAATTTGACTTTAAACCTCTTTATCGAGTATTTCAAAACTACGCACATGAGTTTTATCTTCAACTGTCATAATAATAAATAAATGTCAATTCGTATTACTAAAACCAGAAAGTATAATAAGTAATAGGGACTGAAACAGTGCGAAATATATACCTAATTGTTTTTGAGCAAAATGGACCCTGAATGTGCTGATTTTAATATAGTGTTCGCAATAGTTATGATGATCATAGGTTTCCTTTTCATGGGTTTAATATTTATAATTTAAATATTGTATATATTAGTAGTAGTTTCTTAGTGGAGTAAGTAGGTATGAATGTCTGCACATTGTAATGTAATAAGTGCATTTATTTGATCATCATCGCTCCAACTGAAAAAGCGTTAAAGGTTCTTTACTATAACCAAGATAGTTCCTGATTAACACAATTCATATTGGTAAATATGCGTAGGTAATATTTTTTTATGTTATTATAAGTCGACAAACGAGTAGACGGATTACCTGGTGGTAAGTAATCGGCGCCGCCCATGGACACCCGCAACACCAAAGGAGTTATTACGGGTGCGTTGCCGGCCTTTTGGGGATAGGGGTTGCGGATATAAGGATTAGCCTCTGGTAACCTCACTCACACGGCGAAATACAACGCTGTGCGTTATTTTACGCCGGTATTCTGTGAGGCCGTGGTATCACTCCGGTCGAGCCGACCCATTCTTGTCGAAGCTTGGCTCTCCCGCACTTAAAACTCTTCCCACAATTACCCGTCATTTGAGCTATAAAAATCCAGATATCCAGCAAAATTGACATTGATTTGTAGTTGTAAATCGCCGAGACCAATCCCTTTATACAAAATAATGAAGTTAATAATTATTTTGACCCGTTAGCCATTGTCAGACACAGTTACCATTTTCTCCAATAGGAATCTATACTTTGGAACGAGCAAATAGCTTCATTAGACAGACAGCCCGACAGACTGACTGTTACCCAAAGTTCAAATTTTTGATATTTAATTATTTTGTTCGACGATCAAGTCTATTTGTCGTCTTTTTGACGTTTAATTTGTTTATTCTTCCATCAGGCCAAGAACGCTTCGGCAACATGACCCGGGTGTATTACAAGGAGGCCGTGGGCGCGTTCATAGTTTTCGACGTGTCCAGGGTTGCGACCTTCGACGCCGTTGTCAAATGGAAGAACGACCTGGACGCCAAAGTTCAACTGCCTGACGGATCGCCCATACCTTGCATATTGTTGGCGAATAAGGTAAAAGAAGAGAGAAGTTTTTACGTTAGGGCTCGTTTAACAAAAGTGTGAAGTTCTGTATTATTAGTACATATTAAACACCGGTTACACATTCAAAGAAAGGTATACATATACGTATATTTTAGTATCAGTGACTGTTGTGTCAGTTACAAAATAGGATAACGGATATCTTATGGTCAAAAAACATTTAGAACCTACCAGTTTAGTTCTCCAAAAAGCGAAAATACAAAAAAAGTTTTATCATAATCTTAAAAAATCTGTTTTTTACAAAAAACTATGAAACATTGGCAAACACTGAGTGATATTATCTTAGATACAACACAAATTGCCAAACTGAGACATAAGAAACAATAATTACCTATGTAAATCTAGTATAGACTTAAAATTTATTCAAGTGACATTAATGAAAAGGTTCATTAAATTGATTCAGTAAATGGAAATAATCTCTCTATTCTAGGAATCTAGCAATAAACACCTAATTTTTAACTGATCCACTTATAATTAAAACTAATGATTGTTATATTTCCACAGTGTGACCAGCAAAAGGAAGGCATAGTAAACTCTCAAGCCAAAATGGAGGAGTACTGTCGCGAGAAAGGTTTCGCCGGTTGGTTTGAGACGTCGGCCAAAGAGAATATCAATATTGAAGAAGCAGCCAGGTCATTAGTTAATAAGGTAAGGGTTTTTAAGTTATTTACTGTACCTAGTCAGCTATGCTACATTAAGCAAATCAGCAATGCTTGAAGCTGAGCTGCTTTTTAACCTGATTCCTAGGTAGGAATCAATTAAATGTAACGTTATGCAGTACGTACTGATAATGTGAAATAACCTTAACATGAAAAGCTATTTCGCTAGATAAATTCACATACGTTCTCTTTAAAACTATGCAGAACATCCTCAAAACTGAATCCCTTGACACACTTCCTACCTAATAGGGTGGTCACGGAATGGAATAAACTCCCAGAAAATGTGATAAAAGCTCGACAAAATCTCCAAATCCTTTAATACGCACGCATCAGCTTTCTAAGCTGCTAGTGTGTTCAAGTATATAATAATAATACGTGTAGTGTTCATCTGTGGATAACAAATTAAAACAGTTTTTTTCGCTTTTTGCATGTTATCGTAGGCGTTACATGAAAAAAATAGACAATACTTAAATTGGCCCTGTAATAAGTCCTTGGGGCATCCCAAAACTGTGGCCAAAATAGAGTAAATTTGTTAATTGTCTCATTGTACCCTTACCAATGATATTGTATATATATGTATCTATATGTGTTTTCGTAGATGATCAAAAACTTCTGTGGTAGCAGCAATAATTAATTAATATGACCAATAGAAAATATTAACAGCATTTTAAGTTATTCTATAATTTTACAAATCAATATTGAATTTTAATCTAGTAAAATTCATATTCAACAAATCAATTTCATAGAATTTTATCGGCCGTCACAGTAACAGTTTAATAATTAATAACACATTATTTGCCTACACAAATACATAAAAGCCATAAACTACGAACATATTCTGTCAAAACCAGTTTATTAAAAACATTAGTTTAAGGTTTATGGTTATACTCGCATACCAACCTAACGGAAAGTTTCGGCGGCAAAGCATCTTGTTTGGAAGTAGTTTTTTTAAATATTGTGCAATAGTGTTTGGTACATCGAAACTATTGTATCGTGGGAATTATTAGGCACGTGTTGCACTTAAATGGCCGTAGCAAACTTTATATCCACTCTCTGTATAGAAGTTTCATTGGTCTTAATATAATATTTACTAATAAAAAATTACTGAAACTATAAGAACAATTTTCAATATCCGTTTATTCATATACTTGTCGAGACCTATTAAGACCGCCATTTCCTAAACCGTTTCTCTATTTTACACACTAAGGGTGTTATAGAATTACATCCTCTCAAAGCTGATCTATAACACAATACCTACAGTGTTGTTAAGAGGTTACCTAATATATAAATGACCTTACAGAAACCGTTGACCTCACGATAATAATCGTATACCTATTATCTACTCCGGTTAGATTTTTTTCTTACTCAAAAATGTTGAGCAAGGCCTTGGTACTTACGTCAAACGCGATCGTTTTTTTACCATAGTCTATGGTAGGCGGGAAAATTAATGTCAGCGGCGGCCATTATAAATGTCTGTTTATTTTTTAATGACTTTTGTACTCGATGACAAATTGTGAACCTAATTTGGAGGCTTTTGATGGATTGCTTTGCTTGGCTTTGCTATGCTTTGGTTGTTCTTTGGTTTAAGTAAAATATGGGCTCGAGTATTATTCCCATGACAGGCTTATTTCTTTTTTTTTATATGGATTACCAGTTTTCGGAAGATAGATTTTGTGGTTTGTAGATATATTTTACAGCTTAAGAAAATCAGACATTCTCTACTTAAACCATTAATTATCTTCTGGTGTGGGTCTATGTAGAAATTTTATTTTTCATATCTTTAACGCAAGCTAATTAATCTGTGAATCATCCAAAAAGCGAAATATACACTGTTGTAATAAATTGATAAAAGCATGCATATTATTATTAAGATGTAGATATTAAGACGAGTGACATTCTGGCCATGTGTTTACTAAGAAACTGAACATGTTTAAAATATTCTGAAATATTTCAAACCTGATTGATTATTGAATGAATAGATTTTTGTCAATAAAATCTACTTTCGACACCTACTCTTGAAGAACATAAGGTTTCAAATACATACATGTGCTTTGGAATAACTAAATAAAAAAAAATAACGGCCATTTTGGTAGACCTCCATAAAAAGCTCGCTGACGGAAATCAACTTTTTCTAAGCAACAACTGATTAATTAAGATTGTGCAATATTATTTATTTCTAGACCAAGTCAAAAATGGCGGGCAAATATTTTAAACTGCGGATTAAACTATTGAATTATGCATGTGTTTTATCCAAAAACATGTTTGTTATAAGTACTCATAAAAACTTAATTAACGACGTGGAATGTGATTTGCAGAGGTTGAATGAACAGATAGGTCTCGTAAAAAATTGAAAAAAAATTAATGTGAGTGATTCGCAACCTTGAATATACCTAATAATTTTGATTGAAATTAGCATTAATCACATTTAGTTTAGAAGTAAGGAAGATTTTGATATTGACATTGTTATGTATTCTGTTTTCTACATAATATATTTGCAAATACCTAAAAAAAACACACACTAATCTATATGTATTATGTACAAATTATTTCTTTTCCCTTTCTTTGTAACAAGTTACGGGTTTCTTAATCCTACCACGAGTATTAGGGAAAGATGGTAAAAAACGTGTCATTACAATAATGTGCTAGGAAATTAGAAGAATCCTAAAGAATCAGGTATTACTCGGGTATTTTATACATTTTAAACCCTGCGCTAAGAGAAATATCGTCTGTACGGACTTTTCTTTAGAAAAACCTAAACTGACTCAACTATTGTTTTATAGATTGATACCTATCAAAGGGAAGTTAGATTGTTGAACGTAGGTCATTAAACAAATCTGGTAGAAGTCATGTTCAATAAAATTCAGCCAAATATCGACACCTAATGCTACCCAGTTGGTAAATATAGGACACAGAAGAAAATAGATGAAGCTAATCTACTTATCTTTCATCACACTTATAGCAGAGTGGTCTTTAGTGTAGCCTAGCCCTTTTATGGTCACCACCACAAATCTTTTGGCACTGCACATTTTATTACATTCGCAAAATTGTATTGATAACTGATTGTTGTCCTACCATGTGATTACACATGTGATACATGTGACCTTCAACCATACCCAGCTCAGGGTAGGACATTTGAGCTTCTCAGTTTATTTATTTAAATCATATTTTCTTTCTTCCAGATTCTATTAAATGACAAACTACTCCAGAGCAACGATAACAGAGATGGTGACAAATTCGCGCTTGACCACAAGATTGCCAACGGCGAGAACAGTCGGGATGGAAGCTCCAAGTCCTGCTCGTGCTGACCTATCATCGATCGCCATTCGTAAAATGGCCAATCACAACGCGTCACACAAACGCTCCCCTATCCAAGGACCAATCACGTTCCATTCTAAATTTAAAACTCTCTATTTTGAATAAAATATGCACTTTTTGTTTGATTGACGTTATTAAAAAATGATTTAGGAATTATGGATTTTCGATTTTTTTAAGCTATAATCTCAAATGCAATATAATCTGTTATTTGACTCGACTAGACTTTGCCGCCATTTTTCTCTTTTTCTTTATATTAAGAACTAATTAAATCTTTATGTTTCTGTTCAATCCTTTTAGGATTTGTCTTCCTTCTAAGCTTTTTTACAAACTGATTCTGTATATTTTAACAATTAGTTTTTATTTTTTTGAAATAGGCCGCCATTCCGCGTTATTACGAGGTTGATCAAATGCCTATGATCGAATTTATTTTATTAAGTCTGTATTTTGACTAAGAAAGCTATATCAATAGAGTCACTCGTGCCATTTGGCTGAAGTCATAAACATTATGGTTTATCAAGATAAGTGGAAGTACGATTAAGAATATAAACAGAATAAAAATAAAAATATCGATTTTTTGACAATTGTTTTGAGAATATTTCTATGAGGATATATTATCAACTGTGTTGTATTCTTGCTCGTGCATGCACTATGGTTATTGTAATAAGTATTATCTACTTATTGTATGAAAGTGTGAGAGTTGTTATTGTAAAATAAAATGTTTAGTGATTGATATCGTGTTGTTTTATTTTTCAAATGCTCATACAGCTGGATAAACCATATCCATTAGATTATTTACCATTGAATCACCAACAAAATGGAATGATTGTAGATTCCTATGAAGGAGAAAATGAAAGAAACATTGGGGTTCTTTTTCTTTCGTCATTAATTTTCGCCAGTTTTCTCCATTTCAAAAGACGATCACCTTTATGGATTGGGAGATGGAGGATGTCCCAGGAGATGGTATACCAGAAACGACAGCAAAAGCAAATTTTTTTTCTCATATTTCGTATTAATTCATCTATATCATCATCAGTATCGACGAGAAACGAGTTAACGGAGCGTCTGATGGTAAGCCGAAAATAAACTAGGCTTGGTGACAAGCGCATCGCTTTTCGATCTTTTTCGATCTAGAACGAGTTTCTTAATAGTCGTTACTATTAAGAAACTCGTTCTTAGGGCACGCTCAAAAAGGTGTGTCACTCCCAAAAAGGTCCCATCTAATAACTTCAAACGAGTGAGAATCCGTAGATAACCAAACCAGTCCGGTTTGTGCCTTCGGGACAATGATTAACATAAATAAATAAATGGTTATCTTAATGCGAGTTTGATAAGTTGAGTAGGCGGTGTAAGTCAATAGATTTTTTATACTATTTTTTTTACCTGTCGAACTAATTCAGGCCTGCGTTCACCTATCCGCCGTATGGTTGACACATATAACGTTACCTTTGTTGACATAGATATATTTAATTGCAGCATAAATAAGTTCAAAAGCCTCCTTCTCAGTTCCCTATTTAATACTCAAACTTTATTACAGTAATTTCTTCCACTATCTGTCTAGTATCTTTAAACATTCTAACTATTTGTTACGCGCACTGCTATCAATGTTCCTAGCGTTTATAACTCGTTTTTTTTTAAATTTGTATGTCTACCTGTGGACAGCGTTGTGGGTTACATTATGACCACAACATAAAAATTGTTAAACTAGTTGTAAGTCTTTATAATGTATCTGTTTGCTGTTCCTCAAAAAAAATAAAAAAAAATAAAAAAAAAAAAAAATAACCGAGAGACCTTCTATGTCAGCGTCTTGAGTGCTTGTAAGGGTTATATTATCGTGAGTTTTCGCCTAAAGGCTTGACAGAGGATAGATTTTTGGTGATAGAAAAAAATATTTAAGTTCGTAGACATAACACGATTAATAGAATTGATTAGACCTTTTAATTACCCTGAATCGTTGACGATGAATACAAAGTGAAGGATGGGCATCCTTTCGGAGGAGACTAAGAATAATTAATGACTATTCTCATATTTTATATTATTTCATTCTTTTTTTTGTAATAGGAGGCAAACGAGTAGACGGATGATCACCTGATGGTAAGTGATCAGCGCAGTCTATGGACACCCGCAGCACCACAGGAGACACCGGCGCGTTGCGTTTTAGATAAAGTCCTACTTGATAACAAACTATAAATATTTAACTAAGATAATAGTATGAAAGTTTTTATATGCCAAAAGAAAAGGCATGTTATTTAAATCCTCTGGAAACAACAGGCGTTTTATAATTATAATTCAATAGTTTTAGTCCAAATTAATACTTTATTTTAAACAGAAGAAAGCGTCTATAGGTATATGTATTAACATTAAACTATACCGGGTTTAAAAAATAAATGTTTCAGGCAATTATTTCATATAAAAAGAATACTGGAACTATTAAAATAAAATAAATAACGATTAACTTCAAAGTATTTGTATTTATGATGTAATCAGTAATAGGATTATTGTCGACAGCGAATATTGTGTCAATATTAATTCGATTTAGAACTAACACAATAAAATAATATAATGTATTTAAAGACCATGGAGTTTAAAAAGGCTATGAGGAGACACCAAACTTCTTTACTTAAAACAGATTTCTTCAGCTTGAAAGGCTAGAAATAGTTAAATAACAAGTAACTGTTAATTAGCTTCTAATAGAATTACAGAAATATGTAAATAGATTTAGCAGGTTCAGATATCAATCGAAACATAATTCTTTGAGAATATACAAACAAACCAAATTCCTAAATAATATCGATTAAACACAACCAAACAGTTGTAGCTACTGGCTATTAAACTGAATCGCAAAAAATGATAACAACAATTAGGTACTGGATAAGTCTAAAGATGCAAAGAATAAAGATTAAGATCTCAACAACATAATCTAAAGTTCGACAAGACAATGACTAATCGAATGTTAGTGTGACTTCACAAAAGATACACCGCTTTTAGGGTTATGTAGCTAAGTAAGACACGTGGAAACTTGTATTGGTTCTCTTCTTTGTAAATCTGCTAACATAAAAGACAAGCAAGACCCATGTAGTAGTGGATATTATTTGGAACGAATAAAAAAAAAACTCATGGCTTCCTAACTTCGAGTATTGAAGGGATATCTTTTGCAGTTTATAAGTTATAAGCGTTTCGTCATTGTTTCCGTGCTTTTTAATTGGTCACTTCTGAATCTTGGTTTTTAGGTGTTGTAGTGGTATGTACATATATACTTACCTACATATGTGTCGTGGACTTTGTACCAAAAAAAGTAACTGACTCATTAGGTCATACTGTAAGCTCTCATGAGCTTAAAAAGTATGCTCTTTGCAATCATAAAACTATTAATAAGCGCGGGGCAGCCAAGTTTGGGTACGAATGGGTCGGCTCGACCGAATTGATACCACGGTCTCACAGAAACAACCACAGCGTTGTTTCGCCATGTGAGTGAGGTTACCGGATGCCAAATTCTTCCCCTCCTCCTGACTTCTTTATCTTTGAATCCCCAAAACGCTAATTGCGCTGCAAATATCCATGGGCAGCACTGATTGCCTACCTACAAGTAAGCCGTCGGCTTGTTTTCCTAAATAAAAAATAACATAAAAATTTCCTAAATAAAGAATAACTATAAAACCTAACTTCTTGCAAAGGAAATGAAAAAAAATTGCTACAGAATCATTACATCTTTTATTTCGAACTGGCAAGATGCACCATTTACTCTTCAAAGCCAATCTTTAACCTATAAACAAAGCAGTAATGTCCAACTTCACATCATTTCAAAGGTCTATAGAAACATGAACTTTTGACGACCATATAATTACCAGGGCGATGGCGTGTGATGGTGTTGTAACATTTTTTTACTTCCATCAATCACTTGTGAGTAATTGTTTTATAACATTAATTCAAGGTTTTTGAACCCTACACCATTTTAGGTTTGGCGTTTTTTGTGGAAAGGTGAGTAGGTACCTTAGCTGTGTGTCTGACGACAGGCTGTCATTGGTTATTTTATGTATGTTGCTTAATTATCCTCACTTACATAAGAATTATAACTGTATTTTTTGTCTATCTTTTAGAATACTTAATATAAAACATTGGTACGTATTTTCCCCTTTTTTTAGCACTTTCACCTGTAAGTGCGCCTAAAAACATTAAATTCCACATATGTACACAAGTCACCCAGAACCGAAGCAAAAATTCCCACTCTTATGACTCAAATTGTTGTGTTTTATTTAAGCATTGTTTTCTGATACCTACGACAAAATAAAAAAATGCGCCTATATTTTTTTTTATTCAATCTTACTGACTTAGTGGCTGGATCTTAATTTCTTGAATGTAATACCTTTTTAGAGGAGAAAAATCATCCAAAGTCTTCTCCTGTCCTTGAGCGAGGCGAGAGGGAGTGTCAGACTCTAACTAACTAAATACCACCCCGTTCTTTCTCCTTCTGCGGCCTAGGCCCGCGGTACTGTTTTGTGCTTACGTCACAAAAATAATATATTATTGGATTTAGATTGGATTTAAATAAATGAAATTTTGTCAATGTCTACGTAGCTATTATGAATGTGACAATGTAGTGCCATTTATAATTCGAATAGTGTAACCCTTTATCACTGTGAGATTTACACTATATTTATAGTAAGCTCACTCATTTTTTTATTCAATTGTGCAACTAGCGTTATCTTTCTTATATCATTTGTCTACAAGACCATATTACAAATTCAGTTAGTTACTTATACCAAACTATACAGGGTGTAAAAAGACACTTAACGAAGCCTTTAACTACGCATACTGCAGTTCTAACTAAGTAGCTTTACGCTAAAATTATCACTGTGAAACGACTTTTATTTTTAGGTATCAAAAAAAATAATCATTTTATTGCGCGCAATGTAAAGCAAACGGGCTTCGTGTCATTGTGTGCATAGGTTCACAGCTTAGCATTAAAACGCTGTGATAAGTACGTAGGTCGACGTTTTACTTCGCAACAACAAAACAATTCTGTAAAATAAAAATCCTACTGAGATGCACGATGTTTTTTGTGCGGGTCTGCATTTATTTACTACGTACATTACTGTTCGTAACTTCAAATGCGTAATTTATTTGGAAAAATTGAAAATTCAGGTAATGTTTGTTAGAAAAAAAGTTTTGTAATAAAACTTAGAATACGATTGCGCAAAAAAAAATTAAAAATGCATCTTTGACCTTCAATATCTCGAGACCCCGTGGCGTCCCAGCTATGGTCTTATAGAAAAAAATGATCCAAATAATGGGTAGAATACGTGGCTTTCGGCTTCGTTAAGTGTCTTTTTACACCCTGTATGAAATAACTGTTCCCATACGCACTATTATCGTTTACCAGATTTTGTTCGCGTGGAATAGTGACTTCTTGAAGATTTTTGCTTTAAAAACTATCCTATGTCCTTTCTCGAGTTCCAAACTACATATGTCTGTATCAAATTTGACACAAATAGATTCAGTAGTTTAGGTGTGAAGAAAAGAAAAATACAAGTTTGGATTCATGGTTAAAAATGTACCGAAAGATATATTTTTCGTTTTATTTCTGTATATATATTCGGACCAGGTGAATAGCCTACAACTATTAAGATAAGAGCCAGACAAGACGCGTGTAGCAATGTCAGTTTGTTGAAGAATTATGTTAAATTATACTTAGGTACCTATTATTCATATGTGGTATTTTACACCTGGCTTCTGTAGCCGGAGATTGAGGAAAATATTTAGATCAACATGTAAATAAAATACAATCAGCCATTTCTATTTTTAGATTATTTATGACTAGTGTTGTACCCCAGTTTCGTACATTGCCGATTTTTAGATTATATAGATTTTTAAAGTAGTATGTGTTTCTAAGTGGCAAGAAATAATTATAGTTATGTTGTAATGCTGTGCACCCTTCTTTTGAGGTGGGGGGGGGGGAATATTCAAATGACTTCTCTCGCATTGAGTGAGGCGAGAGCGAGCATCAGCTTACTACGCCTATGCTGATGTATATTATATACTATTATATGCTGATGTCTAATTATGTAGTATATACATTACCACATATTGCCATAAAAGATTATTAAATAAAACATCGCTCCAATCTTTCACGTAAATAAAAAATAGCAAAGGAAATAAGGAGACATTTTTTATAATTTACATTCTATATAGGTATATAATAATTAGGCTGTATTGTCGTTTTGGGAATACATTTATTTAAACCATACATAAGCTGTCGATTTATTATTGTCGCTGTACATTCATTCATCATTTCTATTACTCTTTGATTGTATCTATTATTATCTCTGGTAAACATCCCACAAAAGGGCAAAGACCCTATCCTTCTCCACGCATTGGATGCTTGCAATAGAGTTAAAATAAAAATAATCAAAACGCCGCTCCAGAAAGAAATATTGATTTAAATCTGGGTAACACTCACAGGTGACTCCTAACATAATGAGAAAATGTTAAAAGAAATAAAACTTGAAAATATCAAAATAAAATGGATAAAAGTACAAACCCACAGAACCCTATCATATGATTTGAGAAGCAAACTACAAATTCCTACCTAAACAATGAAGTTTAATTTTGTTAAACCCGTTAGGCAGGAAACTTTGTTATGCGGCTAGTAGAATGTGTAAAATTTGAGTTTTTTCAAATCCATTATTCTCCTACAAAAGAGGTGCATATGTACTAATTATGGTGTTCTTGATGCTATGTCTTTACCAACTGGGGTTTGTGAGCAGCTTCACCTAAACCACCAGTACTTACTAAGGTAAAAAGTTGCCCATATGTAAAAGCATAAAAGCTGGTCGAAGTCAAAAGTCAAAGTCAAAATCATTTATTCCAACTAAACCATAAATGGGTACTTTTGAAACGTCAAAATAGAAAAGTACTCTGTCAGTCTGTTCGTCAGTGAAGCTAGATGCTCATTCCAAATTGTAGATTCGAATGGAGAAGAACGTGCAAGAAACTCCATCGTTACATAGTGCTGTGAAAAATCATTTATTCCAACTAAACCGTAAATAGGTATGTTTAAAACTTTTAATTGAATTGTAATCTGTCAGTCTGTTCGTCAGTGAAACTTGATAACCTGCTAGGATAGACAGACATACAGATAATATTTCCCATATATAATATGCTGTTGTTGTTTCGTTTGTATGAACTTGGACCTATTGTGTCAAATCATGTGGAGATCAATTTATATCTTGATTTATCTGATACGGATCTTTTGATCTGTAGATCTGTTTGCTTACGTAAGAGGTTTCCTATAAGCAAAAGGTCGTCCAAATCCGTTTACAATCTCGTCAAGACAACGAAGTTGTTATCAATTTTATTTTTTAATTTATAGCTTTCTGAATCTGGTGGTATTTAGATTGACGATTAGACTTTTCTTTTATCTATTTTAATTTATTTTTTTGTCTATATTTAGCAGCGCTGCTTAGTAACGAAGTTTTAAATTAGCTTTAATAGGCACATCACTGCCAAAACCGTCAGTTTTGTGAAGGCATTATATAAAAATAATTAATGATTAAAATGTTTTGTTATTTACACTTTTATTTTGTTAATTGCATTTAGATACAAAAATAGTGTGACCAGAAGAATTTATTTTCAATCTTTCTCCCACTTCACTAGATTTGGGGATAGGGGAGGAACCCTATGCCCAAATCTCCGACACCCTCCAAATGCTGGAAACATTTTCGTAGCACCTCTGGTGTTGCTGTTCCGATTGCTTACTTAATTTGAGTGGGATCTCTAGGTTTCTGATTAATTTACGGATCGAAGGATTAATTGTACTTGGCAAGTTATTTATGACACTGAAAAACTGCGTTGCAACTTATGACCTGCGCTCACTTTTATCATCAATTTCTTAATCTGTAAGCCACTGCGATTCCCTAAAACTCAGCTTGAAACTTTATTGAACATTAAATTATTAATCTTGGTTTTACATCGTAGACTTCCCAAATATATCAATTGGAATGATATCCCTACATGAAATAAACAGTTCTGGAACATAACTGTTGCTTCTTAGTGCAAAGCTAATAGATACCTTTTTACAACACCATTAAAGATTTTATAAAAATGAAAATATTATAGTACATTAAAACAAACAGACAAACTGCACAACTTATCTTAGACAAAAGTCGTGAAAGATCGCCAAACAAATGCATTTACATTAGCAAATGATGATATTAGGACGTGGAACGTAAACATAATAATTATTTTATCAAAACTGGATATTATTCTATGTATATTGCATATACTACGTGTTTATATGCAAGAGAATCGTCAGAGGGCATGTGTCTTAGTAAATAACCTCAGAAGTAATGCACTCTAATACTTTTTATCTTGTATTTGCACAATGATATTTCTGTTTGCTGGCGTCGTCCCTCATTTCACCACAGTCTTTTGTTAATTGTAACATTTCATGATTAACATGCTCTTTATAAATAGTATTTTAATTAGTAATTAGTGTTTTTCGTGTTGCGAAATGGAATTCGGATCGGTAGGTTGGCATTTAATATTTTATATCGTTGTTCTAGTGTATTTTCGTGCGTATTTGTGTGCAATTGTGAGATATTTGTGATTTGTTATTTGTCGTTTATTGTTTTTGATTTTGTTAATGCGTAGTAGTACTTCGTGTTAAAAGTGTGATTGTTAAGAATATGTTTGTGTTGTTTTTAAACCAGTGCATTGATGTACTAATTAGATATATTGCCGCTATATCACAGTAACTTGAAAATAAGTAATTGTGTGACGTGTTGTGTGATCCTAATAAGCATACTATGGAAATAGTAAGTTGTTTTTCATGAAAACACATAATAACATATATATTAGCTAATAAAGAAAGACTTGAAAAGTCTTAACCCTTTTTGTTTAAATCTGATGAGTTATAAAGGACAAACAAATATCATTATAAAACTTATCTAAGTAGTAAGAGGAGCGTGATTTTTTTTTATTTGTATTCAAAGTGAAAATGAATTCAAGTAAGAGAAAGGTTATACGTTAAAGTGTAAGGCAATCATAAACAAAGAAATGGTTCTTCAACTTAATGCAAAAAACCTATAATTCACAGTGATTTTGATACGCATTCGTAATTTATTTGATTAAATTTTTATTTCTTTACTATTTTATCTTTCTGGTACGATAAATACTCGGGCTTAAAGAGCAAGTGTGGGAGAGCCATGCTTCGGCACGAATGGGTCGGCTCGACACACGGTCTCACAGAAAACCAGGGTGAAGCCACTTTCACGTTCCGTTTATGAATGGGGTTACCAGAGGCCCAATTCTTCCCTCCATCCTCAACCCTCAAATCCTGTATCCTTAAACTCTTAATAACCTACAAGAGGAAACGCAATTGTAGTAACTCCTTTGGTACTACGAGTGTCCATGGGCGGTGCTGATTGCTTACCATCAGGTATTCCGGATGCTGCCTAACTCTGGCTTGAAATAAAATGTACTCCATTTACATTCTCCACTGTCATTTGACATCATAGTAAAGAATTTGACAAACTCACTTATCGCGATAATAAATGCCAAAGCAAATTAGTTTGAAACTAGGTATCGCTTCTTATTAGATCTGTAGAACTAGGACCGTATTAAACCAAGCAACCTAGGCAAAACGATTGTCCGGACCCCTTTTCTTTACCGATGAATTTAAGGAGACAAACACCTGGAGTCCACAAACTCATGGTGCGAAATAGTTTAACAAAATCTTCGATTATTTTTAGTACGACAAGGATTTCATGGAAAATGATGTGGTGATAAGAATACAAGATTTGAAAGTATGGACACCCGAGGAAAAGTCTTGGTGGAGACGAAAACCAAGTAAACCGCAAAATGTTATACTTAACAATGGTAAGTACTGTAGATACAGACTCTAAGACACGTCATCTCATCAAACTAAGCAAATAGATTAATTATTATATGTTTCAATGGCTTATTCGCGTAAATGTTTGGCGCGGAACTCGACTAGTTTCAGGCCACGCTAGGGCCACGCTCATATCCATGAGCAACATTTCGCGCCGCACGACGCAGCCACCTGCCCTGCGTTGGTCGTTCAACATAACAATTAATTTAATATGTATCACTAAGGTTATATCAGGTAAACAAATCGATTCGCTTTTCGCGTAATTCCTGAAGATGGATTTCTTATCATCCTTATCGGGCAAGAAATACCTAGACATACTCAGACCTCGAATCTGAATAATTAAATGTCATATCACAATAAACAATAATCACTATTAAATCATAATGTCGAATTGTATAAAAATTTAAGCTTTGTTTTAATGAACTCGTGCAGACGACGTTACAACAACCCAAGCCTGCTAATTTTCAAATCTTTTTTGATTAATTTTTTTTATTGTTCAGTTTGACTTTTGTCAGTAGCTCAAACGATCGGTCTGCTTCTTGGCCCTTATACCGACAAATATATTTTACTCACTATCAAAAATAAAAATACTATTTTTTTGTATTTAACATTTTTTATTTAGTTACAGGAAGTATAAAAAGAAGCGAATTTGCCGCTGTCATTGGACCAAGGTAAATATTCTATGTACACGATATGATAAGTATTAAAGTTTATTTAAAAAAATCGTAGAGTATACTGTGAACCACGGAAAATGTGGAGCTGATCGACCCATATTGCCAACAGGCTATTCGAGGTATGTATTTATGAACTGGAGAAGGGACAGGGTCTTTTACTCAGTAAGAGTCTCTCGCCCCATACAGGGCAGGATAAGTAATTTGAAAATTTCCTCCCTGAAAATTTAATATTTACATATGGAACAAAAAAGCTGTATCCGATTCGGAACCTTGTTAATAAGTATGTTCGTGTATAACTTGCTTTATTACCAGCGCGAGAGAACGCACAATATCATTCGAAATTTTACTAATAATGGTTCACTCAAACGAATCGAACTTTCCCTATTCGTTTTAGACAAAAATGATGATATTATTTATTTCTGAAATAGATATACCTACCGATCTACCTATTATATTATTATTTATATTATTAATTAGAAATGTGCAGCAGTAAAGATGTTATCATAAAGTTGAATATAACCTGAATTCAACATTGCTAACAATAGATAAGCAATCTTTTGTAAATCTGATATTATTGCACGAATTTGCATTTAATTAAAATTTCGATGATAGACAACAGAACTTGATCATTTAACACACTTATTCACACTGTTTCATTGCCATATATGACTATATGTAAGTATTGTATATATTTCAATGGCAGTTCATAGTACCTAATTATATTTCTCCGCAAAAATTTATGACAAAAAGTGATTTACAAAGCGAAAGCTTACATTTTTGCGATTTTCAACTACACGAAAAAGTTAACTTCCATTTCTATGGACCAACTTTCAGGATTTAAATGTTATTTATTTGTTATTCAAAAATATGTAGGTATAGTCCCGTAGTTCCATCACGATATGTGCCATATTTTAACATAACAAAGAGTATACCAAGCAAAGTAGTGTATCGTCTAGATTAGGTACTGCTTAACTACAGAATTTTTATTCATCCCATATGGTTTTACTAACTTTCCAAGTCAAAAATCATGAAAACTATTCAAGAGACATACTAATTTTTATTGAAATGGGCGTCCGTGTGACTTAAACGCTCTTAATAAAACAATATTGAATTGACTTACGTACTTTATCAATAATACAATTTATTTCTCTCCTTCCCAGTGGCGCAGGAAAAACAACATTCTTAGTATCTTTAGCGGGGAAATGTACGCTACCATCGGAGGGTTCAGTGACCCTTTGTGGGCAAAATGTCAAGGCGTGTCCCGGAGCTGTGGAGATTGCACCACAGCATGAGTCTTTCATGGATGGGCTCAGCGTAATGGAGCATTTGGTATTCATGGTCAGTTTACCTTTATGGAGATTTCCTGGTTTAAATGTCAAATTTTATAAACAAAAATGTTTACGTAGAGACTCCTGTCTTTTAGTAGGCATTAGGACGCCATTAGAGCAACAGTTCAAAAAATAATATAGTTCTAGTAATTGATCCAGTAACTAAATAGTAACCATCCCATTAATCTCCTTGTATTTTAAAGCTTTAAAATCAAGAATAGTTGAAAAAAATAAAAAACTAGCCTTTGTCCGCGACTCCGTTCGCGTGGAACAGTGCCTTCCTGCAGATTTTTGGTATAAAAACTAAACTATGTCCTTTCTCGAGTTCCAAACTATGTCTGTACGAATTTTCATAGAAATCGGTTCAGTAGTTCATAGTTTGGATATCACAATACCTACATAAGTCTAATAAGTCTCGTAAAATAAATAGCTACAAATTTATATACTAAACAAAATGTCAATTTATAGTTGTTTGTAAACTATTTATTCGAGTCCGGATGGCAACACTCACAGGTGTAGAGAATTCTTTAAATATATTTAGAATCCTTAATTTTTGTATCAAAAATCAATAAATATACATCATAAGGTCGACTGGTACAAAAATGTTGCTATTGTCTGCATTTGTTTTTTAAAAAAAATAGCAATAAAAATGTCTTTAAAAATACCGTTTGACTTTTGAAATATATACTTTTTATTTGGGTTAGTGTACCTATAGCTTTTTTTTTCAGCTAATTTTATATAGTTTTATGGAAAAATTATAACAATGCTTTTATACTGACGTCTGACATTATCTCGTTATGTAAATCTCTCGATGTTATTATATTGATCAAGTACTATTGACAACAAAAGTTATTCATTATTTTCCAAGGATATTGTCATAAAGGTCAAAATGATATAGTCGTTCGTATCGGCTTCAGGCTTCAAATACTGCTTCAGCCCACTACTGAGCAAAATCCTTGCCTCACATGGATATGGTTCTTACCCTTTTCCACATAGTGAGTCTGTAATAATCAATAACAAAAAAAAACACTGAAAACGAAGGGATAATTTTATTTCGGTAAAATATTTCAGTAAAAAATATAATGTAACAGTTATCATAATACATGTCTAATATGCTTGTAGCAAATTTATGACTGTAATCGTATAAAATTGCGAGTTTATTATATTACACTAGCGAACCGTCCTCGCAAACCTTCACATATCAAATTTCAGCCAAATCGATGACATGCACACGTACAGCAGAATTATATAATATATAAAAAAATATTATGTATTTATAAAGGTTTTGTCGATGACTGTACGCGCATTTAAATTGATTTTCAAACTTTCTCGCTTCGACTGATATCATCTTATTATTATACACTGATAATATCAAAACTAAAATAAAACTTCACCTTTGTCCCATAAATTTTTAAGATATTAACAAAAACATTTGATTTAAATTTAATATTGCCGTTGAGTTTTCAAAATAAAATGTTGGAAATAGCGACGTTTTATTAATGCGTTAAATTTTATGGACTCAAATGCTAAACACTACTATTATTATTGGAAACATTATTAAATTAATAAAAAAGAAAGAATTCATATATTTTCTTAATTAAATTATTAACTATTATTTTGAAATACGTAATGGAATTAAATTTGAATTAATACACGGCATTAACGAAAGAGCTACATGTGGATTGTCCATAGAAAAAATGTGCTTGATATTTTTTTTCTGTGAATAGTGCCTAATTGTTTTTTATAAATTTATGTATGAGGTACAATATTGTTTTACGTGATAAAACTGCAAACGATTTGATGGATTACCTGATAGTAAGCAATGAGCGCCGTCCATAAAAACCCTCAACAACGGAGGAGTTACGAGTGCGTTAAGGACCTTTCGGGGGTTAGGTTTTTTGGAGATTCAGGAATTGGGGAGGTGAAGAAAGGCCTGCTGTATCCTCATAAATAACGTGCAAATATGTTAAAAAAATCCTGTAATTTTTTCAGACAGAAATGAAACTTGGCAGCTGTAAAGACCTGAGGATCAAGGCCACACTGAATAGTTTAATTGAGGAGTTCAAGATGAAGCCTCATGTCAACACGCCTGTTGGAGGACTGTCTGGAGGGGAGAGGAGATTGCTGTCCCTCGCTACTACGGTAACATTGTGTTTTGGTGTGCTTTAATTACCTATTACCTACTTATCCTACTATACTTCACCTTTCTACTAACAGTATTATAACTGTATGGATGTAATATGTTTGTTTTTCTTTCACGCAAAAACAGCTGGACCGTTTTAATATTAATAATATAATAGTGTGATAGCTCGCGGTACGTAAGCTGCTTTTTACCAACATACCACGAGGGCGAAGCCGGGGGCAGCGCGTTATATGGCGGTTCTCTTAAAAATCTTAAATATTTTATTTTTGATTCTACTACTTATAAAGTTAAGCATAAACAATAAATTTTATATCGACTGCCTCTTTAAAGATGTCGTTTTAATTTTACATTCGCAGCTTCGACAAACCACTCCTCGAAATTTCTGGGTCTAGACAGAGACAATTAAGATCAAATCCTTCAAAGGGTGCTTACTATAATATTATAGATATATTATAGATTATTATAATATATTATAGATACAGTATTTGATATACTACTCTGTCAAGAAAGTACCGGGAAAAAGTCAATAATACACAAAATGTTTGTTATTCATCTAAATTTATTTTATCACCTTGAAAGTATGCTCCTTCAGAAACGATACACTTACGCCAACGAATAATCCAATCATCGAAACTTTTTTTAAACGCTGTTTCCGGAATTGAGTTCAGTGCTCGCCGCGAATTCTCCTTTATGTCTTCTAACGATTGAAAACGGGTGCCACGAAGGGGTAATTTGAGTGTGGGAAAAAGAAAGAAGTCGGCTGGAGTCGGCTGCTCGATGGTGTTTGTTGAGTGTTTGGACCAAAAATCGTTTACAATGATGGCCTTGTGCGAAAGCGCATTATCGTGATGCAAAATCCAAGAATTTTCTTTCCACATTTCTGGCCTTTTTCGTCGAATTTGTTCTCTTAAACGCCGCATAGCGCTCAAATAATATTCTTTATTTACCGTTTGACCTTCGGGCAAGAATTCTGAGTGCACAACACCGCGATAGTCAAAGAAAACAGTCAACATGACTTTGACTTTTGATCGACTTTGACGTGGTTTTTTCGGTTTTGGTTCAGTTGGAAGGCGCCATTCCGAAGCTTGTTGACTAGTTTGCATGTCAAACTCATAAACCCACGTCTCGTCACCAGTAACAATGTGTTTCATGAATGTTGGGTCGGTATTGACTCGTTCTAGCATGACCTCAGCGACTTTCATGCGATTTCGTTTTTGAAGAAAATTCAGGTCTTTTGGGACTAGCCGAGCGGCAACACGTTTCATACCCAAATTATTTGTTAAAATGGTACGGATCGACTCGTGAGATACAGAAAGTTCGGCGGCCATCTCTCTCAAACTTGAATGAGGATTTTCAGTCACTATTTCCTTCACTTTTGCGATGTTAACTTCAGTTGCAGACGTTGATGGCCTACCAGAACGAGGCAACTCGACTCGGTCTTCCATCACATCTCGACCGCTTTTGAACGCTTTGTGCCACTCATAAGCACGTGTTTTTTATAAAGTCGATTCACCGTAAGCCTTCTGTAACATTTTGAGTGCCTCCGAACACGAAATTTCATTGGCGATGCAAAATTTAAGACAAACTCTTTGCTCGATGTTTTTGTCCATTATGAAATTCGCAATACACACTAGATATTATAAAACTAAAAACAGCACTGTTTTTAATATAAATAACAGATGCAACTCAAATTCCGCGCCAAAATGGAAAACAGTTATGCCAATCTAACAACATCAAAAAAAAATTAAAATTCGAATTTGGAACCATAAAAAAAACATTCATTCCCGATACTTTGTTGACTGAAAGTATGTATGAGCTAAAAGTAATCATTACAAAAAAATATTTACTTAGCTTTATCCTGTAATTTTTTACAGTTTCTATCAAACCCACAAATACTAATCTGTGATGAGCCGACTACAGGACTAGACAGTTACAATGCCCTCCTTGTGATAGGAGTCCTGAAGAAACTCTCAGCATCAGGCAGGATCGTCATCTGCTCCGTCCATCAGCCTTCTTGTGACCTGTTTAAGGAGTTCAACTCTATACTCTTAATGGCTGAAGGAAGACTGCTGTTCCATGGGTCACAGGAGGAGTGCAAAAATGTTTTTGAAAGGTAAGTGCGAGTAATTTTGTGTATGAAGTTGTTTTTTTCCTATTTTGGCACTGGTAGTGTGCATTTCAGATGTTTATCACTGTAATCGAGTTATTAAGCAATCCTTGTTTAAAACTGACCCACCAAACAGACACACCTGTCCTTTTTTGTAACAGTCTATACAAGATGTCTTTGACAAAAAACCACACCTCGATCTGTAGGCTTATTCAACAGACTATTTATATTTATTTATTCACATTTTTGTATTTATATACCAACATAAAATATTTCTATATTTAGCAGTTTTCATAGCAACCGCCTACCAGTTCGTTAAGGCGTTAACTATTAAATAAATTATAAAATTATACCCAGATTTGTTCCGGAGCGCTCACTCATCGACAATATTTTAGGTATTTCATCTTCGACGCGTTACGTCATCATTAGTTTAATATTTACACATTTTTTCTCTAAGTTATACAATTTTAGAACCTTGTATAAGAAAATGAAAAAAAATTAAGTCTCGTGCGTAGAAACCAAAATCAGTTTCTTTAGTCCACTAATACATTTCTTTATAGAACATAATAAACTATTATTTAAATTTAGAATAGAACTCAATTAATTTAAAAATGTCTGATCGAGGAAAATAATAATAATTTTACTAGATACCTATTCTGTGTTAAGTATAATGCATTGACGCTTTTGGAAAAATAACATCACTTAATGTGTCAAATAAAATAAAAAAACGAACACATTTATTTTATTGTATGCATATTGCATATTCAATAGACACATCACTACTGAATTTATTAAATCTGATAAAAGCTACATCTTTGAAAACAATAAAACTGTGCCATTTAGGGTAGATTTAAGTCAATTTTATTAGGTTACTAGCTTTTACCTGCGACTCCGTTCGCGTGGAATAGTGACTTCCTGCAGATTTTTGGTATAAAAACTATAATATATCCTTCCTCGAGTTCCGAACTATGTCTGTATCAAATTTAACAGAAATCGGTTCAGTAGTTTAGGCGTGAAGAAAAGAACAGACAGACAGTCAGAGCTCCTTTCGCATTTATAATATTAGTTTGGATGTAAATTGTCATATTAATTGCTAAGCTCCCGGCGCGATGTTGACCATAAATTCACTCTCTTCTAACATTTATGAGCAAAATTTATAACATAAAAGTAATTAAGCTGTTGTTCTTCTTCTAGAATCCGAAATATCAAGTGATCATGTCAAATAAATTCAGATTTAAGTGCTGCAAATTGCGACCCCTGACCGTATTTTAGACGAAAGATTAAAAGTAAATACTTTTGCAGTCGCAAGAATTTCTAGTTTTTTTTCTCTCGACTATTATGGAAAAAAAACGTAAGTTAAAAGCTCTGCTAGAAGTTTGAAGTTTTCGGATTTTGGTTAGGCTACTTCTCATTTTTAGTCGCTAATTATCTATTTATATAAATGATAATTAAATCAATATTCAGTAGTAATTTATAACATCTAGGTAAGCTCTCAAATCTCAAAACGCCATTTAAAATTATTTGTATTTCAATATCACGAACCCTAGGTATTGACGATGACCATAGAGTTAACAGGCGGTGAATATTGGTATTTTGGCCTTAATAAATAAAGTCCTTATTTCATTATTGATTTCTTTTTTTGCTATAATTACTAATTATTTGTTTCCAGTATAGGTTTGCTGTGTCCACTGAACTACAATCCAGCGGAATTCTACATTAGAGCAGTCAGCTCCAGTAGTAACGTCCATAGACTTGTGGAAATTTCCCCAAACCGGTCGGAGTATCACGGAACTGGCTCCGTGCGACCCGATTTGGTCCATAACTATAATAGGCCGTGAGTACATTACTTTTTATTGCATTTTTTTCTGAATGGAATGGGTTTGTGACAGTTTTTGTGTGTTTGGACTTTGATGAACTTTTTTTTATTTATATTTGTGTTTGTATACGCGTGAATTTGGAATGAACTTGTAGTTTCTGTATCAATAATTTTAAATGTTATTAAACCTTTTTATTTTATACTTTAAATATTGATTTACCTGCTTAAAACAGACCTTTTTTTTAAGGAGAAAATCATACTGTATTTTCTATTCCGTGATCATACTTCTCCTGCTCTGGATGGGGCGAGTAGTGTTCTTCTGACAAAAAAAATCAAACCGTTCCTTCTTCTGTTCCGAGCCGAAGCCACGGTGCATTATTGTGCTTACACTCGCAAACTGAGCATGCTCCAGACCTACAAAATTAGCCTTTTAGAGCTATTTTCCAACAAAGAACAAAAATCACCAAAATACATTCAGCAATTTGCGCATGGCCACAAAAATGAACACGGACAAAAAAATATTTATATCGTCGGCGATATTTTCAAATTCTTTTGACCGAACAAAACCGACCTTTGAAATTATGTGTACTCCTTAAACGGCTGGCTTCACACATGTAGTGTTGCGGGCGTCGGGCAGCGCTGATTACTTACCACTGTCTTTTAACATTAAAAAAAATAAGCCTTGATTAGCTGTCTCAGATTTCGTCAGATAAAATGACAGGCTGCAACAGACACGCTTAAAACCACAACTAATTAAGTATATTTCAGAAGATAATTAAGTAACTTCAATAATGATCTAGTCTAAGCTATCGCATTACCTGTTGCAACAAAAATTGTACTTAGTTAAAATTAAATAGTTGGTATTTTCACTGTAGAAATATGATCTAGGTAGGTACAAAATTATTATTAGAATTTGACATTAAAAAGGGTCTTTTTGAAGTAAACAATTTTATTTTTAGGTAAATAAAGATTGACTCCATACATGAGTAGTAGCTATTGTTATATAAAACTGTTTCTTTACATGAAGCCATATCTCTTGTAACCACCCAGTTAGCTCATTAGCCAATCAAATAACTATCTCTGAATCAAAACTCGGGTATTTCTTTACTTACCTATGGAAAACCTAAAATATAATGGTTAACTATCCCTAAAAGCATCTAAGCAAAAATTCGGCAACACACTCGTAACTCTTCTGTTGTTGCCATGGGCGGCGCTGATTGCTTACCATCAGGTAATCCTTCTGCTCGTTGCCGACCTATCACATGAAAAAAACTCTAAGACCGTGACTAATCACTATAATTACAACTTGACGATTTTTCGCCATATATAAAAATACTGCCTTCTCTAACCTACTCAGATTACCTATCAAAGAATCGGTGTGTCCATTCCTGGAACAATTCAGCCAGTTTAAAAATATATCTATCTACTAAAGTACGTTGTTTATGGCATCCGGCGTCCGCATGCTATAAAACGTGACAAGGCCTTGTTGTTCTTTCGATAATTGGGCTCAACTTTTTATGTAATTCTTCAAGGCTTCACGTAGATATATAAAGTATATGTAGTTAAGATTCATGTTTTAGACGCTCTAGTTATGAATTTTGATTAGGTGGAAATATGACAATATTTGTTTCTTCGAATTGGTTGGCTGGTGTGAAGGTTCTGTTAGTATGGTTGTTAATATCATTGTAGGGTCGAACTTGTTGTTATATTTAACCTTAATACTTTTTTACAATTTTCTAAAAAGCAATAAGGGCAACAAATATGAATTCGGATGCTATGTGCCGTGTTTAATTAAAAGACTGTACCTACCTAAATATGTAGTAATACGTTATGTAAATTCTAGATTAAATAAAAAAAAAGCTAGATCAAATCATTCCCGTTAGAAATTATATTCGTGTAAAAATTTAAATCATTTCCATTAAAAAATAGCTGGATACCATTTCCAACATACCTTACTAATTTCCATTTGACCATGGATTTACCTAATATTGTTTATCGAACAGTTTGTTTTGAATGCAAATGTGAAGACATAACTATCTCATATTAATACAAATATGTAGCTTTAAAGAACTAGATAGGCACATCCTTTATTTTATTGGTCACCTTATTTATTTCTCAACCGAGACGGAGAGAAGCACAGATAATATTTTAAATTCGATATTAATTAAATGGCCATTTAAAATATACATGTATTATCTTGGAAATGCAGATGTTTTATGCAAATACATTTAAAATATACGGAGAAACGACTTTTGCTATTGTTGGTATGATAATGTATGGATTTTTTTAAGTGTTTACTAGTGATGATCGAATCGTCTAGGCTATCGGAGAGAAAGGTCAATTCGAAGTGTCTTTAAAGGTGAATGACGGTCATGAACCGAAAATTTTCGAGCACCAATCTGTCTAAGATATCTGTGACTACATACGTAACGGCGACGACAGCTAAAGATAATTAGACTGATTCGATAAATTATGCTAAATGATATAAAATATAATATTTCTGCGTGGAAATTAAGTATCAAGGTCAAAGCTAAAAACTTTTGTAAGTTACATAACTGTATAAGCTTAGTTGGAAAGATAGAGTTAATAAAAGAAATGGGTACTTTTAAAAGGTTAAATTAGAATGTCTCTCAGTGGAATTATCAGTGTAGTGCGCTCGCTTCAAAATGTAGATAAGAGTTAAGAAGAAAGATCATGAAACTATATGTTAAAATCTTACCTATGCATTATTTTATTCATATAATATGTGAAAAGAATGCAATGAATCAGTTATTAAGAAAAACAAATGATGGGATAAATTCCTCAACATTAAATTTGAAACCTTTATTCTATATGAAAAGCTCAGAAAATGCTTTTGCTAGACTGATTCGTCATAGATATATTGCTTAACTTATCATACGAATCTACGAAATCTTAAAATTGTCACCAATCCAATCCATGCTGGTAGGAAATTCTCTTATTTTTTTTTATTGAAAAAAGTTAATTTTACAAAAACCTAACCTACTATTTGTTGTTTTGTTGTTCAAACCTTATTTAATGTACACATATATTTTGACTTACAGTGTCCAAAGGAATTGGTTCAAACAAGTACACCTATTGTTATGGAGACTCTCATTATCCCTGAAAAGGGAAATCAAAAACCAAATTATACAATTATTTATAACTGTGGTAAGTTGTTTTTTGTTTAAGTTTATATTTCTTCAAGGAGATAGTATGAATGTAGAAAGTGCATTTTAAATGTAACACACTTGAGACAGGCTACATGTCAGTTTTGCCCGCCCTTATTACTAGCGTCCAACCCTTTTTTTTTTTTTTGTCAGTGCAAAATCATCCAATGACTTCTTCCGCCCAGGGTAAGGCGAGAGAGAGTGTCAGACTCTTACTGACTAAAAACCCCCCCCGTTCCTTCTCCTGCTCTGGACCGAGGTCGCGGTGCCCCATTGCGCTTACCCCGCAGCCCCGGCTAAACATCAGCCCTTTAGGGCCCCGACTGTGGTGGTCTATTGGCTCTTTGAGGCGCGCGCGGAACGCTACGCGCCGTACGCTCGGGTCCGGTTCTGGTCGGGCGGCGAGCTACCCTTACTCGCCGTCCGCAGACCCGCGCTTACGGTGGCCGGAGATCATCTCTCTAGCGTCCAACCCTAAGCTGAGAATTTTGAAAATAGAAATAAAAAAATGTTAATTAAGCTGTTTTTTTGTACAGCATTATTTTACGCGTAGGTACTTAGTGGTATTCCAGCAGTGATTCATCTTATTTAACATATATATGATGTACCTTTGTTACGTGGATAGGATGTGAAGTAATTGTTATACATATAGTTTAATCCTTTTTCATTGGTAGCCATGGTTTCAGTGGAATAAAGATTTGCTTATTTTAAAATCGAGCAATAAGTTAATTTTAAATTACAGGTAATAACGTCAATGGTCCTTGGAGTAGCATACGTGGGAGCCACAGGCACAACCCAGCGTGGAGTTCAGGAGATACGCGGCTTCCTCTGGCTCCTCACCAGCGAAGTGTCCTTCGGAGTATCATACAGCGCCCTCTATGCTTTTGAGTACGAAATATCGCTGTTCAAAAGAGAAGTCGGCGTTTATAAGTGTTCTGCGTACTTTGTGTCGCGATTTTTAAGTTTTGTAAGTATTTTGTATTCTATCAATAATACGTAACAGGTAAAATATCCATATTTCATCTATTTTTGTCCTTTTTAGCTTGTTCAACACTTTTTTGTATTTTTTTTATCCTTACAATACTACATTAACCCAGAGATACCTGATACTCGCAAGGAAGTCATTTACTCCTCCATTAGTGTCTGTCATTGTTGATGTTGACACGTCGTCTAGCATGTTAAAGAGATCTAACAAAATATTGCAATTCTAGATACAAAAAATAAATAAATAAATAAAACAAAATAACAATTAGGTTTTTTTCTGGGTAACAAGTATAATTCTACCAGCCATATACACTAATATGCCAGTTACACTAATAGCGTAGCTATGCAACATAAAAATGTTATATATATCTCCTTTTTTGCAAAGCACTCATAAATGATAAAATATTCTCATTTTCAGATCCCACGCTGTATAATATGGCCTGTCGTCCTGGTCTCAATCTCGTCTCTCGCAGTGGATCTGCCCAACCACGTGATCACGACTTTGGAGTTCATTGCTCTACTTATTCTGAGTGCGATCCCAGCTGTTGCTTATGGTAAGGTAGGCTTAATTCCTCCCCTTCCTTAACCTCTTGTCTGCCAGTATATGAGACACAATAGAAAACACATTCGGCCTTATCACAAAACCAGGTTTTATTACAGAGCGAGTTCTTGTATTTCAAATTGAAGGTAGGTGAGAATAAGATTCTGTTGTATTATCTGTGAAATACAAAAGCTGACTTAATGGTTTAAAACTAGACTAAAGATTAATCTTGTTTTGTGATAAGGGGGATTGTGTCTCGCGTAGATCTGCACTCGCGCATGCATCACACACACTGCACACGCATCTTATCGCGGATTTAAGAATGGCAAAGCAATTGAATAGGTATTTAGCCCCAGTTCTACTGATGTCCATGGTTGGAGCTGACTGTTCACTATGCGTTTAACTGTTTGTTTATTTCCCATAAAAGAGGGTCAAATGATTTCAAAATTATTTGTAGCCAATTAAGGATATGTTTGTATTCATTATACACATTTTTTGTCACTTGCAGGATGTGGTCACTTGATCAGGATATTGTACAACGACCTTATTCACTTTAATTCACGCTTTCAATGCGAATAGAGAAGTTCCCTCGATAATATAAGGGAAAATCAATTCTTGTAACTAGATGTTTAGAGCTAGATTAAAGTGATAGGTAGTTAGAATTTCACAAACTGGAACTTCAATTGAAATATACCTATGGATATAGAATTTATGTTGTTACAAATAGTGTAATGTCGTGGGTTAAATAAATTTCACATAAACTTTACAAAAAAACCTTGAATAAGCCACGACATGGATCGTGGCAGTCAGTTCAGTCATAATCAACTTAGCATTTGTTCCATATAAAAAAATTACGATCGAAAATTGTGAATAATTTTGGTGCAAAACTATTAAAGCAAAAAATTAATGGCGACAGTTTTATAGGTTTATAATAAATGTAATTTATGAATGCAATACTCATCTCTCATAAACTTTTGAAGTAGATATCATAATTAATTTATTAAAAAAATCTAGTACTTGGCTAACACGTATGGGCATGAATCCACCTTTGACATTAAGCTTAGATGTCCAGCTGTCAATTTTACTGAATAAGTAAATGTCTACTTAAAAACAAAAAAAATACACGAGACATTTTCAGGCATAGACTTAAAATAATTATAAGACAAGATGGCCATGTTTTTTTTAATTTACTCTCTTTACAAAACTTAAACTAAAATACTTAAAAGACAAATAAATAGAATACGAAATAGATTTTAGTAACGGGAAACACTTTGAAACGTTCATCTATACTAATATTATATAGAGGTATAAGTTTGTAAGTTTGTATGTAGGGGTAATCTTTGGAACCGCTGGTCCGATTTCCAAAATTATTTCACTGATAGATAGCTACAATGTTCCTGAGTGCTAAGGCTATTAAACATCACGCTACGATTAAATACGATAGTACATAAATAATAATTGAACGCTACAGTTTGCCGGCTGCAGTCTTTCCGTCCGAATATAATTTAGGTGTCTTCAAGGCTAGAGTGAATAGGCTCTTAATAAACTAGTGCCCCTTACCATCAACGATTGCATCACTGCTTACCATGAGGTGGGATCACAGTCAAGCACTAGATTATAACAAGTAAAAAATAGAGCCGAGCGGCGGGTGAAACCGCGCGAAAGTAGCTAGTTGTAAAGATTTCTTTACCAAAATATTTCTTCACACATATATCAAGGCAAATAAAAATGCGTACTCTTTAAAAATTATCTTTATTTCACCAGGTCTCGGCATGGCAGCACTGTTCACATCAACTGGCATTATAGGCGACGTGATGCCATGCGTCGATCTTCCCCTGTTCCTCATGTCAGGAGCGTTTCTGCGGATATCTTCGTTACCTCCTTGGATGTTCCCCGTCAAGTACATATCGCATTTCTACTACACTATGGATGCGATCAGCAATGTGTATTGGAGACAAATTGATTATATAGGTAAGGATCTGAAGATATTTTGATATCATCATCATGTTCGCTCCCGTTCATGGGGTCTTGGATCTTTTGAAGGCTTACGAGGAGCCGAAGCCAACTATTAGAGGCCATTTGATCAACTTTAAAATTAATAAAATATGGCATCAGTTGGCAATCATGCCTTTATGGACTATGAAAGTGCTATATTGCACTTTTATGCAATATGGTTATTATGTGTGTGGCTATGGACTGATAGGTATTATCAGCAGCCAATAAGTGTCCAATGCTAAGAAAAGGCCTCTTCTTACAGTGAGGTTTGAGCATTAGTCACCACGCTTGCTCCAGTCGGATTGGCGATTTCAAATTTATAATTAGAAGTTATATGTCCAAATATTCTCACGATGCTTCTCTTCGCCGTAAAAAAGTGACATTTTAAAATTTTTGTACTATCTTGCTTCTTTGCCTCTTTTTCTGCTTATGTTAAATCAGATGATTTTGTTTCTTTGGAGACATTATTATCATACGAAGTAACGTACCTACTATAGTTGTTCTATCTACAGTTCTAAACTCCGGCCTACTAATAAGGTTTCGAAAATCGAAAAATCCGATGATACGCAATCCGCTTGGGGGATCTAATTCGAATTTGGAATACTTATCGTTTTTTAATAATCAAAGAATTTCTGAATGCTGTTTTTTACCAACAAGTTATATGTTAACTATTTTTAAAAAAATATGTCAAATAAATTAAATTGAAACCTCGCGCTTTATGCAAACATTTGCAACCAGGATTAGGGGTAGTAAATAAAAGTTTGGACAATAATTTTGACGTTACTTTAAATAAACAATATTCGTATTATTCAAAAAGGTCAATTATCTAATACATTGACAAAGTACTATATAACCTACAATATTTTCTTAAAACTTCACAACGAAGTGAATGCACGACCACCTATTGAAATAAAATCAAAACTATTAGTTTCTTGGTATAACACAAAAGATTAATGATCTGTGATACCTTTACATGTAAAGCCAATAAGTTATAGAGGCTCAGACCTTTTATAACATTAAAAACATTTTATAAGGGCCATATATTTTTTGAGATAGTTCTTATGTCTATCCTAACTAAATAACTTTGCTTACAAGTCCGGTCGTAAATTATTTTAGTTGTAAATCTTATCTTACACCCACTTTATTCAAAAATATCAATTTAATGCATTGGTTTTGGTAAAGAATAGTGACAAAACACGTTATAAAAAAACACTTTGCTTATAAATTACTTACGAAAGTCGTGCATAGAGGCGCTGGTGTAGCATTTAGTCTTTTGACTCTGAAGATGAGACTGTTCTTGCTTAATATATTTGTAACATCGTTATATTTACTGCCTTATAAATATGTATTGTAATGTATATATATAGTATGTATGTATGTAAAGTGTGTTATGTATATTTTTATATATATGTTTGGTATATGCAATTGAATTTCCTTGCTTCTGCACCTGCCACTAGATTATCTCTGCATCACCCAAAGGTAGACTGGTAGAGAATGCTCATTGCATTAAGTCCGCCTATGTACAATGTTTTGTGCATGAACTCTTAAATAAATAAATATTGCAAATATCGCAGCTTACCAGTTAAATCAGCCATTCAACCAACGCTTAATGTCTAGCTATTTAATTAAATAGCTGAATTTATCATTCAGACAGTTTGTTGAACGTTCAGGAGATTGTAATGAAAACCAAGGTACTACCAGAATGGTAGATTCGAATTGGCATCACAGATAAACAGCTTAAAAATTATACTGCGATATCACTTATTGAACAGGCTAGGTCCTTAATTGAATTTTTTATTAAACTGTTTTTTATATTTCTTATTTATAGATAACCAATATAAATTGGTAGGCAAAAATAAATCGCTAAAGTTATTGCGTCAGCTCAAAACTTCGTAACGGCTGGATTAATTCGGATAGTGTTTTTAGTTTAGCTTTTAAATAATTAAAAAACATTTTGAAAAAAATAACTTCTAAGTAACGTCTATTTTCGAATGATATATCATATTTAATCACAAGTTTTAAGACATTAATATATCGAAACTAATGTAACTTGATAATTTCAAACCTGACTTTGATTGACATGAAATTTAAAACATCATAATCAATGCACGTGAGAACATAAGCAATTAACCTTTTGGTAATATGATTAGTTCTTTAATTTTTAATTGAGATAACAACAACATAAAGAAAAAACCTAAGTATTTTAATAAACAACTTGGTGAAGATATCATTGGCGTTACTGTATTTGATCTAGAAAATTCTAAGTAGAATTTTAGTAATTCTAAGTGAGTTCGATGGCGTTGCTAGGATTTATTCTATGTTGTTTAGATAAAAACTACTAAATTCTAAGTTTTAAGTAGTTGCGTTATTTACTGAACCTTTATATGTGATAGTTCGGCAAACGGATTACCTGGTGGTAAACAACGCGCGTTGTGGATGATTGTTTTTCTTGAGATAAAACCTTTGCCCCACACTAGAATTTTGTCCTGTGTCGTGGGTGCGGTTACAAACATACAATTTCACATACACATGACACCTAGACCCGGAACAACAATTTGTGGATCACACAAAGAGAGTGCGGGAATCGAATCCGCGACACGTTGCACGGCAGCCAGTTGCCCAACTACCGCACCAACCGTGCCGTCAAATTGATTGATTGATTGAGCCACCAGTCCACACGGCGAAACCAGGCTGTGGTTGTTTCACGCCAGTTTTCTGTTAGGCCGTGGTATCATACCGGTCGGCCCTTTCGTACCGAAGCATGGCTCTCCCACACTCTTGTTTGATTTTGTCGCTTAAATAAATGGAAGTGAATTGACTACTTTTTTTCTTTTGTCACATTTCTAATTCTGTTAGAATTAGAAAATCTATATATTGGTACTTACATAAAATATTTAACTTCCTTTAAAAAAAAAATATTGAGCACACAAGCATAGCTTTATTGGTAACACGTCAATAAAGACTATGACGGTTACTTGAGAAGAAATAAAAAAAGAACATGTTAACTAATAAAAGCTGTTCAAAATAATAACATAACATTAAACATATTTATATATCGCGTGCAACAGAAATGAGAATATTAGGATTGAGGTGTTGGAATTATAATAACATAATAAGGAGACCTAAGTATATTAAGACATGTTAGAAAAAAGTTTTTTTTTTATCATGTCTTGTTCTCCTTACCTTGATTTTATTGTCTGGTAGTAAAAAATCCATGTCTGGTTGCATTTATCTTGAGAAATAGTCTTCAATTTTCTCTTTTTTCAGATTGCCCAACGAATGAGACTTCGGCCTGTGTCAAAGATGGCGCTACAGTGCTACTAGAAAATGGATACGTTAACAACTTTATACTACAAGACTCTTTAGGATTTGTCCTAATTACTCTCATCTGGTGCTTACTAGGATACATAGGGCTGAAGAGAGAGGAAAAGAAAGGCTATGCTTATTAGAATAAGGTTTAATTTTAAGGTTTATTAAAATCATCGTATATATTCGGTTGTTTTATTTATAAAAAAATAAAAGATAAAAAGTCTTATGTAGGTAGGTACTTAGTCTCAGTCAATATTCAATGACTCCTTAACATACTATACTAATAAATAGGTATTTTATGTTGTTCTATAGAAATTATGATATTAAATACAATTAATAAAAGCAATATGTTCTATAAGAGGTAGTTCCCTAAAAATACATTGAACCTCTCAATGCTATAACACAGATATAACCTATTTGCCGTAAATGTTAAACAATTGCCTTAAAACTAATTATTTTCGTAACAATATAACGATGTTTTAATATTTACAATGCGAAAGCCCAATAGACAAACACAGGGCCACATTATGCATACCTCGTGCTTAACGTAATTTGGGCAACTCGGACATAAAAAGTCGCTTCCAGTTGTTTTTTGTTATTCGTAATTCGAACGTGAATCACTGGCCGGTTCTATTAACTATGTAGGTTTTATTCTTTTATTTTTTCTCACAGTACTAACATGGTCGTAAAAATCCTACGCTATTTAAAGGAAAAAAACAACGATGTTGGTTTAAATTTGGAAACGATTGTTCTTTTCTATTTTGAATTGTGAAACTGTCAGTTTAAGTAATTTCTTTTTATTGGAAACGGATATATATAAATAAGAATTTTGTTGTTTTGTAAAATAAAAAATTAAATATGTTTCGTATATACCTAATATCAAACTTTGAGGCCATTTTTTAATAATTTGGCGTCTGTCTAATAATTTTCAAGAGGTTTCGACGCCAGTAGAATTCGAAACACGATCAAAAAAAAAAAATTACAGATTCGAGTATGTTGACGCACCAACATCGATACTATTAGCTCATAGTAGGCGTATTTCCTCAATACGATAATTCGTTTATAGGCGGTAAGTGATTTAAATGTCTTATCTTCCACGGCTAGCATAACCAATCATTTCGACACTTGGGTGGTGTATCATGATTGGCATATCATGATTAATGTGGCTATTCTCTGCGGCTATCATGCATCTACGAAGCTCTATAATTTGTCAATCGATTATAACATTATCGTTATTCAAATTTTACTACGTCTTTATAGCCGCTATTATCTGTGGTCAGGTATAAAACCTCTTTACATTATGAGCGATTTAAAAAAAGTTTGTAAGCAAAAAAGTTCTATTGTTTTGTAATATTACGCAAGCTACGGAATTTATCTTTTCTTCATAAATTATTCGTTAGATGCCTGTTAATTAAAATCATAATGATCATACCTTTATAATGTCTTTGATATATCACGGCATTTTTCTAAAAACGTGTCTAATTGAAGTTGTATGTACTTTTTGGTACGTTAATTCTCAATACACTGGCGTACCTCGACTCCTCTTCACAACCATGGCAAAGGCCACGATATGCCCAACACAGTACAAAACGACCAAGCAAGCGCAGTTCCGCCAAAAATTCCTCTCATCGTAACCAAACCTGGTTAACACACCAGCCCCAGTTTTGATACAAGGCAATCCTTCGGCATTAACACATTGTATACTTGTCACTAGATTCCATTGCAATACAGAAATGCACTCGGTCCCATAGTAAAAACCCGAAATGTATCGAAGCCAGGAGAAGTATATTGGTGCAGTTGCTAAGTTCAGGTAGATACCAGAGAACATCAACCCTATTAGGTCGTAGGGAACTGATATCAGGGCTGCCGTTTCCATTTTGTCGAATGTCGCTGATAGAAAGGATCCTGGAAAGTCCAAAAAGTAGTTTTCGATATAACATTATACTTACTGTCAGAGCAAAATTTCGCCTCATGTCATTTAGTGTAGATTTATTTTAATGCCAGACTCATCAAACACAATCTCGGCTTTGTATCTCTAACAATATCCAAATGAGAAAATCACTATGAAATGGGGTTAGGTTGAACCCGAAATCGAAAAAGTAAAACAAAATATACATGAATTATTAAACTACTAATAGATTTATCCATTACGAAAAGGATGCAATCTAATAATGACTAGCTATTTTTTACCTCTTTAAAACGGCATTTAATTATATCTACTGAAGTTATTATATAATTTTCCGATCAAATGAGTACACAATTCGAATTCGAATAAAAAATATCATTAGTACCTTTACTGCAAATAAAAATAGAATTATATACGAAGCCTTGATTTTTTAGAGACGCATTGAACTTTAGATGGTTAAAATAATTTGAAAGTTAATGACAAAAAAATGTAATTGACTGTACAATGCAGAGATTCATAAGCAGATTTACATTACTGTTTTATGGTACAAGTGAGCAACGTAAAGGAATAACTATGAATACTTACTTAGTAAGCGGACTTCTTGTGGATATAATGGGTTATCATCAGATACAAGTCATACACCTGCACGTACTAAGTTTGGAACTAATTGCGTAGGTAAGGTACAGTATGCGACAAAATAGATGTTACTATTATTGTTTAAATAACACAAAAAGTTACAGAAGAAATCAAATAATAGATAACCTTAAGGACCTTTGGCAAAATTAATTCGATTTTGTCGCTTACCGTATGCTTTCAGTTAAAACTAATCGACAATTAGTTGTGAATTGTAGGTACATAGGAAAGGAATGGGATTTGGTAGAAGCGAATAAACAAACAAATTTAAAAACTTCAATAAATTTATTGAGCCAATTCATCAGATCTATAAAATTACTGCCAATCCATAAGACGTTGGGTTTCATCAATAAGGCGTACAAGACAACTCTTATGAGTATATTAATATAACTGAAACTTAATTGACCTAGACCCTGTTTTACCTTTATGGCACGGGTATGTGTCAAAGCAGCCCGAAGAGATGCTAAAGATAAAAACTATGTACAATTCAACAATTTTCTAATAAACAGGAGTGCCCCTACTCCTCTTCATGACCATAAGGAAGGCTATAACATGAGCTATACAGTACATACTGAACAAACAGAGACAGTTACGCCAAAAATGTTCTTCAGCGAAACCGAACCTTCTCAAAACCTCAGGGCCTGTCTTTATACAAGGCATGCCATCAATCTGTACACAATCAATGGTCTCAATAGAATCCCATTGGAGTATAGAAATACTTTCAACGCCGTAGTAAAACCCTGATACATATCTTAACCACGACAAATAAGGTGTGACGCTAGCTAAGTTCAGGTAAAGGCCAGAAAACATAGTGCCAATCAGGTCAAAAGGTACAGATACCAATGCAGCTGTTTCCATTGAGTTGAACGTCGCCGAAAGGAATGAGCCTGGAAAGTCGAAAAGAGAATTGCAATGCCAATTTAAAAATGGTGGTCACTCTAGTCATAAACTAGAGCAAAATAATTTTGAATTTAGAATTTTGATAGCCTTACCAGCTAATAAAATTAAATTAAAAAGTAGGTAGTAAATTTTTAATAACCTTGAGGTTTTATTCCTTATGAATTAAAATTGTCTTGTGGGTGTGAACCAACATTTTTATGAGTTATCTTTAAAATTTAGAAAAATAAAACGAATTTAGTCTTTTACTGAAATAGAAATTTTGACATGAACTAAAAGTAGAAGCAGGGTTTGCTAACTACAGAAATCTAAGGAAAGGGGCAAAGATCAGCTTAGTAATTTCAATTTAAAATATATGTTTGGACTTACCATAAGCGTTAGCGTAGTTGGCACACAAGATACAGACGAAGTTGAAACCGAGCCATCCCATGAACCCACCGTGGAGACCAGCGACCAAGAAAATTAGCGTCGTGAATAAAGTCGGTTCTATTACTGCTCTTGGAATCTAAAGAGAGAGAAAAATGATAATATAAATATTTATGTTTAGGTATTTGTCATGAGATTGATGGTATCGGTAGATATACAAATATATTTAACTCGTGTTTTAGATACAACTACTGCCGTTTGTCATCCAAAAGAGATGATTTCCTCAGTCTAGTTTTTTTCTAAAATGACAAAATGTTGATCCGAATATTTATCCTATATAGATCAAACTCAAAAGGGCAATTTTGACAGCTGTTAACAAAACTGGTTCTACGAAGTATTTAAGTCAAAAATCATTAACTAATAAGATTTATTTGATAGAGAGACCGCAGTAGCACATAAATTGATTACGAATGTAAAATCAACATTTTAATAATTACCAAAGTGGAAACGGCTACATTTACGGAAAAAATATTCCAAAACCACTAGACGGAATGTTAACGATGGTAGCACTAAACTGGTTTGGCCATGATCGTTTGTAGATGACACAATTTAAGGGCCTTGCTATAAAAATAAAACTTTCTACCACATTATAATTCTGTCGACATTGATATTTACTTCTGTGGACAATGGCTAATGGTTGACAGTGAAGAGATTTTAACACCCACATAAGAGATGATTTATGTACTTAAGAAGTTGTTGAATGAATCACAGTCATTCTGATTCGAATCAGATGGGTCTAAGCCAATGTAAAAGTTTTTATTGTATTCAATGTAAGCAGGAACATCAACGTCATTGTGATGTGAATCATTTATTATATTCTATTATTTTATATCTGTCGTAAAAATGTTCATGTTTTTATAGAATCCAATAAAAATTGCAAACACATCATCCTCTATATTTGAGAAACTACTTTCTACATGATCAGGTTAAGGAAACTCTTTTCAAAGATATACCAGAACTTGTGCAACATTAACACTAGAAAATACAAAATGTAGGGTTGTCAAGAAAGATCAAAACTTACCCAGAAAATCATCTTTGATAGATAATAAGGTAGTGGTGCATACAACCCGCTGGCCGTCTCTCGAAGCAGTATAGGAACCTCGCTCGGGAAAGTAATGAACACGGCGTATATGAAGAGGAATATCGTTTCTGTTATCGTGAGGTAGAGAAGACCTTCGACGTTCTGGATGTCACGCTGGTCCAACTCGTCGAAGTGGCCGTTGTAGGGAACTGAGATTATCAGACCCACGAACTAGGAGAAAGACAACATAAAATATATGAACCA